GTGGGGGAGGTAGGGGGGAAGGGAAGGGGGAGGGTGGGAGGGGTAGGGGGAAGGGGTGGGGAGGGGTGGTGTGGGGTTGGGGGAGTAAAGGGGTGGGAAGGGGGGAGGGGGAGGTAGAGGGGAAGGGGAAGGGGTTGGAGGGAAGAAGGGAAAAGGGGAGGGGGGAGGTAGAGGGGAAGGGGGAAAGTGGGGAGGGGGAAGGGGAGGGGAAGAGGGAAGGTAAGGGGAATGGGGAAGGTAGAGGGGAAGGGGGAGAAGGGATAGGAAAGAGGAGGATTCAAATTCAAAATTCAGACACTTTATTCCATTAATTACAGTGGGTATTTTCTTTACAAATTACACATAACAATGATATCATATGTGATTGGAATATCTTGCTGGGCTTGATGTTCATGCGGGAAAAAAGGAAAAGAGAAAAAGAAAAAAAGAGGAAAAAATAAAAAGAAAGAAAAAGAAAAAGAAAAGAGAGAGAAAAATGAAAGAAAAAAAGAGAAAAAAAAAATGAGAGAAAAGTGAAAAAAAGAGAGAAAAAAAAGAAAAGAAAGAGAGAGAGAAAATGAAAATAAGAATGTAAAATAATAATTTTAAGCACGCACCCCAGTAAACCCCTTTTCCGCCCAAAACTGAGGCGCGCGCACTCTTCGCAATTCCATATTCCCTTACCTCGTCCTTATCCCTTTCTCTATCCCTTTCTTTATCACACTCTATCCCTTGTTCGCCCGGGGGAGAGCGGCGCTGCGTGGCGAAAGGAATAGGGGTAATTTAGGAGGAAAATAGGAGGGGGAGGAAAGTGGGAAGAGAGGCGGCCGTGCGAGGCGATGCTAATGCCATCTCGTGGCGGATTTTTCGATTTTCGTTTTGGTTGTCTTTATATTTATTTTTTCTTCTTCGTTTCTACATTTTTTTGTTCTTGTTTTTTTTCTTCTCTTCTTCCCTCCTATATCTTCTTCCTCCTCCTTCTCATCCTCTACATCTTCCTCTTCCTCTTCCTCCTCCTCCTCCTTCTTCTTCTTCTTCTTCTCTTCTTCTTCTCTTCTTCTTCTTCTTCTTCTTCTTCTTCTTCTTTCTTCTTTCTTCTTCTTCTGTTCTTCCTTCTCTCCTCCTCCTCCTCCTCCTCCTCCTCCTCCCTCCTCCTCCTCCTACTCCTCCCCTCCTCCTCTCCTCCTCCTCTACGTCTTCCCATTTTCCTCTTCCTCTTCCTCCTCCTTCTTCTCTCTTCTTTTTCAATCTTTATTCTTCTTCCTCATCTTCCTCTTCCTTGTCCTTCGCATCACCAAATCATCATCAACCAATCCAATAAATCGACTTAGATAAAGAAAACACAGAAGGAGAAGAAATCATACGATTTAAATAAGAAAAAAGGGAATAGATAAATAGATATAAAGAACGAAAGAAAACAGAGAAGGAGAGAAATCATACGATTTAAATAAGGAAAAAAGGGAATAGATGATAGATATAATAAAGAGCGAAACAAAAACAATCGATAAAGACAAAAAACAATGAAAAGAAATGGAAACAAAAAAACAATCGATAAAGACCCAAAAAATAAAATAAATAAATGAAAGATAGAGGGCGAGCTTTACTTGCAATATCAGTCTTTGTTTGGCCTTAAAAGACTTGGATGTTCGGTCTGTCCTTGGGTTGGGAGTGGCGTGTGTGTGTGTGTGTGGGGGGGGTGTTTGTGTGTGTGTGGGGGGGGGTTTGTGCGTGTGTGTGTGGGGGGGGTGAGTGTGTGTGGAGGGGGTTGTGTGTGTGGGGGGGGGGTGTTTGTGCGTGTGTGGGGGGGGGGGGTGCGTGGTGTGTGTGTGTGTGCGTGTGTGTGGTGTGTGGGGGGGGCGGTGTTGTGTGTGTGTGTGTGGGTTGTGTGTGTGGGGGGGGTGTTTGTGTGTGTGTGTGGGGGGGGTTGTTTGTGCGTGTGTGTGTGGGGGGGTTGTGTGGTGTGTGTGTGTGCGTGTGTGTGTGTGTGTGTGTGTGTGTGTGTGTGGTGTGTGTGTGTGTGTGTGTGTGTGTGTGGCAGAGAGAGAGAGAGAGAGAGAAAGGA